ACTCTGGTAGAAATGCTGTTACTCTAGTTAACCTGTTCTTCCCCATCAACATATAGGCTGCGGCATCTGGTGTCGGCTGAAGCTTCTGAATCAGGGCAGCCTCATATGCAGAAAATTGCATTCATCTAAAATATGCTGTGCAATCTGACTAAGGATCTTAGTAATATGTGCATCGGTAATAATTTAGAAAATTAGCATTTTAGTTTTTCTTATATTTACGGTCCTGCACGATGGGACTTTTTTGCCCTCAGGCCTACCATTCATCTCTTAATGCAAGTTTAAACATATGCTTCATAAACAACAGTGTGACATCTTTGCACAGGAAGCATTACTCTTAAATTACAAATGGCTGTGCAAAACGTACGTGTATATTTCAAAGAAGAAATATATGTTTGGTAATTTCTTCCTTAAATTAGAAGTAGAAATTTTCTTTTTTTTTAATGACTGGCAGTGAGGGCTGCAAACCTCAAGCATATTAAACTGGAGATATTCTATGGAGAATGTAAGTGGTGGTTGTCTTAACTGTGCCCTGGCCAACAACTACCTTTACTCAAGGTTCATTTTGGAGACAGAATGTGGGACTCAAGGGCAAGATCTTATCCATCTCTCATGTTAAGATTGGCAATTCATCTGTCTGCTTTAGTCACCATCAGTCTACATCTTCCTTTGAATTGGCAACCGATGAGAAGAGCTGGATTTGGCCCTGGTTGCAAATTTTTAATCTCAGATGTAAGATTAAAGTGTGTTATTGTGGGTTGTTTCTTTTTTTACACAATCCCTATTCATTTAAACAGCTTTCAAAACCACGTTTTTTCCCTCTCAACATGTTTTCTGATTAGATGTGCCATACAAAGCTTTTCATGCCTCAGATCATAAAATCAATGTCCTTTCTTCACAGTATTTTTGGATGCAACAGCTCGTTAGAAAAGGTAAGACTCTACATATGTCTAGTTCACAAAAGCATGAATGAATAAATGTATTGTGGTGATAGACTAAGCAAGGTTAAAAGCTCTAATACAACTAGGAAAAGCATATAAAAATCCTTTTGAGTTTCTTAAGATTCAAAGGAACTTAGCTAACTTTCTCAGTAAAGTGAAGAGAACAAATCCCTCAACCAGAATATAGGAATACGAAGAAATCTTTCTCTGATAGATATTACTCAATTGACATCCTCCTTGAGTTGACAGCATGTAATAGAGGAAGCCAATAAAAGTTTCAGTTAATATTTTCAACGTAAACTTTTAGAGAAGCAAAGGCTCCAATGGAGATTGTGTGTAAAATGACTTCTTCTTCCCTGAGTCAGGAAGGAAAACATTATTCATTTAGTGGGATTTTGTTGAAGGAGCACGTTGGCAAAGCAGGGGCAACAAATTAAACAAGAATAAAATGTTATAGTAATAACAATAGCACTTTTTTATATATATGCACCACTTATATACCGCTTCAGAGTCTACAGGTTTACAGAGTCAGCCTATTGCCCCCAACAATCTAGATCCTCATTTTACTGACCTCGGAAGGAAGGAAGGCTGAGTCAACCTTGAGCCGGTGAGAATTGAACNAAATTGTCTCTCCTTTATAATGTGAAAATCACTTGGATCTGTCTAGGAGAGACACCTCAGCATTGTTCCTAATTGTTTTTGTGCACCCAAATTAAAATGCACGTTTTAATTGCCGCATCTGTAATTTTAGCAGAAATGGTATAATTACAGACGTGATGCAGAGCGAGTGTGCCTCATCCCTTTATTATGTATCCACGTTTTGGTTTCCACCTTTTGTCTTAACCTTGTCTGGGGTCTGTCAAACAGACTCGCGGAGGCAATGCACTTTTGAGAAGCATTTTGCTAAGACTTTTTCAGTTTTCAACAATTATCCCACTTTTTGCACTGTAACAAAAGAAGCTTTAAATTCAGAAGAAAATGCGGGGAAATTATGACTGCTTTGTCTGAGTCGATTAAGATTGTCTTTGGCTGTGCATAGCCCCATCTTCTTCTGCTTTGTCACTGGACTTCAGGATGACCTGACTTCCCATATTACAAAATTCTATTGAAAAAGTATAGAAAATTCATATATTAGCACTGTTATGTAATTTTTACGATTACAGCAGATTCTCCCAGATTTTTAGAGTTGATGTTGAGTGATATTTTACTATCAAACTGAAAGTGGAAATTTCATACACTTTTGGGAAATGTCTGTATAGACTAATATGTTGTGCTTGGTGTAGACCAAACATCTCACATTGCAGAAATAAAACATGGGCAATTATATCATGTTCAAAATGTCATGATGCTGTATGAAATAGGTAGGAGCTGCCAAATCATTTTATCATTTAATTGGGTTAAGACTCAGACAGTAGGAAAATTATCTTCCTCTCTTTTTTAATTGCAGGTTTCAATCTTCTTTATAAATATTTTTCCTTTAATGACTTTTTTTTAAAAAGAAAAAAGAGTTTCACTTTTCCAGCTTGATCCAATATTTTTATTCTGGCCTCTGCATTAAAAAAACGGAGGAGTAATTATTAAGCAAACAGACATATAAAACTCTACTTGTGTGAGTGAATCAAAATTGCATTAAGGCAAAACAAGCTCAGAAGCCTGATGAAAGTATTTTTTTTATATTATTTTCAGGAGACAAGTGATTTGCACAACCAATAGGTGATTTTATGTTTTAATATGACACTCTTCCTGCTAAACATAATCAGAACAGTTTGTGACTTACACATCAAATCATATGCCATCATAAAAGGTCACTATCAGTTTATAAAACACCAACAGAGGTTTTAAACCCATATTAAGTCCAAATCCAGAATGGCCAAAAACACTTTGTTAAAAACGGAATCATTAAAACTAGGAACTATATATGAAAAATTGCCAAAATAGTAATTTCTGGTAGAAGTTACCTCAAATGGAAATTACAAGACTATTTCATCAACTTTTCCACATGGGAAATTCCTACTAGTATGTAATAGTTGTTTTTTCATTATAAGATGCAGATGGAATTATAATTTACCTTTTGGGGCATAAATTCTGTGAAGCCCTATCCATCTTCCTGAATTGGATGTAGCTGTGCAGTCAGAGCAAGCATTATTCTTTTTCCTCCTTGTTCCCCAAAATTGGAATTACATTATTAGATGCTTTAATAAATTGCTTTGTGTTTTAGTTTCTTTCCACCACACGATGCCTTCACCAGAAGCCATTTAGCTTTGCAATTTATGTTGCAGGTTTAAAACTTAAGAAAAACCCACAAAATAATAGCAGATTTCTAATAAAAATATAGAAAAATTGTAAGGAAAACACTAGTATATTTTGCTTATTTTAACATAAAAGGAAAATTAACCTGCCTTCCACTTCACTAAGTGGGAATACAATAGATTGGAATGCTGCTATGCATTGAATAGAGCAGTGATGGTTAACCTTTTCGGCATTGAGTGCTGAAACTGGGGCGCATACTGGAGCGCCAGAACCTGGAAGAGAGCAGCTGGCTGGTGCGCATGTACGTGGCGGCCAACTGCTCTTCTGGGTTCCATCACGTGCATGCGCACTGGCCAGCTGCTCTCTTCCAGGTTCTGGCACACGCATGCACGGCTGCCAGCTGGTCTTTGAAGACCAGGTGGCCAGTACACATAATAGCAATAGCAATAGCAGTAGACTTATATACCGCTTCATAGGGCTTTCAGCCCTCTCTAAGCGGTTTACAGAGAGTCAGCATATTNAGAAATTGCCAATGAAGTGGAAAGGAATAAAATATGACATAATACTTTTTTTTACCCCCACAAATGCCTCTGCTTGGTTAGATTACAACTTGCCCATTTTCCTTTATGCATACCCATATTGTATACGTATAGCATAGCATAGCATAGCATAGCATAGCATAGCATAGCATATACTGTAGACCTCTGTTTGCATAGATAGAAAGTCTCCCACTCTCCTTATCTCCAGGCAGATCCCCCAAACTCTTGAATAAGCAAGCATAAGAAGGTAGCAGAGAATAAGAATATAAAATCATTCCCTGACAGAAAAGGGAAAGGGTCCACCAGCAAAAGGGGTTTATTGAATGTCATCTCCTTTGAGAGTATGAAGCTTTTGTGAGTTCCTTAGGATTCTCTCAGTATAAGTATTTATCTTGTCTTCTGGAATCTTTTCATGCGGTGTAGCCTATGTGTGGGGACGGATTTATGTCATACAGCTGCTAATGTATAGACTGCTTTATTTAAAAAAAAAAATCTGTGTGGCAATAAGCCACTTCTATGTATTCTTGACAGCCACTGCCCAGGAGATGGAGATTTTTGTGTCCATCATAACTTCTGGCATGAAATATTATCCTACAGGAAATAATGGGAAATTATTTTTGCATTAAGGAGCTGTCATAAAATATCACAGCATGTGCATTGCTCTAGAGCTGAAATCTTTTATCTATTAATTGTTAGTTTCCAGTAAAAAAAAAGGGGGGGGGATGAATTGTTTATTAATTCTGACGAGTCAGAATTGTATTTATTTCTCCAAAATTAATTTGATTGTCAACCACTGGTGGCTTTTGATTCCAGTAAAAAAATGAGCAGATAAAGCAGACATAAGCCATATATAGTTTTGTAGAGGCACACTTTTTGTCAGTCAGGAATATTTCTTCCCCGTATGAGACTCTGGAATATTTAAATTGAAAACAAAATATGTTTTGATTGTTTTTCATTTTGCTTTGTTAAAATTATTCTCAGACTAGATTGTACTATCAAAAAGAAACAAAAACCCCAATCTTCTAATGATACACAAAATTTATATCTTATGATGCCTTATATGTGCCTTAGGTTTCTGGTATTTTTATGGAGTTACAATAACCAAGTCCTTAAAAAAAATAAATGCTGACTTGGCATTTTGTATTAAAATTCACTAATCATTTTACTTTCTGTTTACTGCTAACTAATCTGGTGGTGTCTTTTGCTGGGATTTTAATTGGTTTCTAATTTTCCTTTCCCCTCCCCCTCTGTCCTTCCTTTCCTTTTTCATTAGTTTTGCTTCCCTTTTGCTGCCAGAATGTCTGAGGCATCTTACTTTGAATCTAAAACAGCGGAATCAAACAGTGCAGAGATGTCATGTCAGATTACCGCCACGAGTAATGGGGAGGTAGCTGGCATGAACCAGAGTCTGAAGGCCTTGATGATGCAAGGTTTTGGGGATGTCTTCTCTATGAATGAAGCAGGATCCGCCCTGCATTCTGGAATGCAGATCAATATGCAAGCCAAAAAGAATTCTTCCAAAACCACCTCTATGAGAAAAGGGAAGAAGGTCAACCTGGCGCTGGGGTTCCATGAATTCGACTTATCTAATGAGGATGATGAGGATGATGATACCGATGAGGAGATCGATTTTGAGGATGACAGTGATTAGCAGTAAAGGAAAGCTGTGAGGACTCTAGTCTGGCATCTGTTACAAAAGGGAGAGAAAGAAGAACATTGAGAAAAAAAATATCCTATGTTTTTCATTGCTGAGTAAGAACAGAGCACCATTTTGTTGCACAGAACCATTTTGTTTTCCTATTTGTGAGAAATCATGTTCCTTATGTTTATACCCTCTATGTGGTTTCTTTTTGTTTTGTTTTTTGCTTTAAAATTTAGAATTAATTTAAACAGTTTTGGGTTGTTTATTTAAGGTTTTTTTTGTTTATGTTGACCTATTGTTGACATCGTTATGGCTCAACACTATGCTAATGCTGAAACTGCTGGTATTTTCTTTTAAGTATCATTGTTCCTTTCTTCCGTAGGTCTCTTGAGCAGGTTAACAGATAAAAGTATAATTCCATTTGGGGTTTCCCTGCATGTTTTATAGCTGTAATTCCAAAGAATCATACATATCAGTGGTGAGATTCAAATTTTTTTACTGCCGGTTCTGTGGGCATGGCTTTGTGGGCGTGGCAGGGGAAAGGATACTGCAAAATCATAGTTCCCTCCCCACTCTCAAAATTTCCACTACCGGTTCCTGAATGCCACCTCTGATACCTATAACCGTGGGCTGTATTCTAGAGTCAATTTGGTATAGTGGTTAACGCATCAGGCTAGAAACCAGAAGATTATGAGTTTTAGTCACATCTTGGCCACAAAATAGGGTGAGTAATCTTGGGGTGGTCATTTTCCCTCAGCCCTAGGAATGAGGCAAGGACAAATCACTTCTGAAAACCTTGCCAAGAAAACTGCAGGGACTTGTCCAGATGATTACTATATCAGGAATCAACACTGAGTAGAAGGCATGCACAAATGTATATATAATAAGATTTATAAGAAACAAACATTTTCAAATGCTCATTTTATCTGGCAGGACAGCTCACCTATTTGGGCAAAGTGAGAGAATGAAATTGGTTTTACTGATATAGATTTCCTGCCATACAAACAATATGTCCTTAGCATTATTGTAAAATAACTTTTAAAAAATCTAACCAAGACAAAATACTTCTTGAATAGCTGTATTGCTCTTGTGTGATAAATATATATTTTCCACACTGTTGCTTATTTATTCTAATTTCTGTCTCTTTCCTGTTGATAAAAATCTCAGTAAAATGAAAAAAGGAATACAATGCAATGATATTTAAATCCACCAACTTCTTGTGTTAAAGCAAACATAAAATTCAAATTTCCTCCAAGTATGAGTATATTTCAAGCATTTTTTACAGAAACAACCTAGGATCTTGGTTAGGCTACAACATGTAGCTATGTTCTTTGGTTAATTTTAACAAAACTTTTGATTGAATAGGACCTTCCACTTAATCAGGCAACATATTTCTAAGAATGTTCATTTTTTAAAGAATTTAGGAATCTATAAAATGATAAAGGACTTCCTTACTTCTTGCACACTTTTTTTTCCTTCCCTGGAGTTACAGTTTTTAAATTTTACATGTTTTATCATCCTGAAATAATTGAAAGAGAATCCATTGTGTTGATTCTCAAACCTTCCCAGCAGTCCCCTTGCCTAGTCTGCTTTCTCCGCTTTCTATGGTGGAGTTCTCAGATAGAAGAAAAGCTGCAAAAAAAAGTTTCTACAGTGACTTGGAAGGCATATCAAATTCAAATCATTATATCCTAAAAATGATAGTTTGATTAATTCTATAGCCTCTAGGATTTTCCTAAGGATTATAGTCTTAAATTGTAATCCTGTAAAAATATAACTGATGGTAAAGTCAATCTCATGAAGCTTATTTTTTAGTGAACAAGTTTGCCTTGTAAATTATCTTGATTGAGAGTTATCTATATACATTGGGCTACAGACACACAGATATTGGGAAAATACTGATTGCTTGTAGAAACAGGCTTTGAAAGTAGCTCCTTTGCACTTATTTCCAACTCATTTAACTTTCCAGGTTTTACTGTAGGGTGAATATTCTGGATTTACTATTAGGACATTACTAAAGCTTCATTTTGGATGTTTTGATTGTAAATGTAGATCCAGTAGCACAATTCAGTTTAATTGTGCTACTGCATAGTGCAATCAGAGCTTAACATTTCTAAGTTTGGGCATACAAGCAGTATTATTTTAATAACACTGAAAATCCTAATCTAGTGTATACAGTATAATAGTTTATTGTTGTATGAGAAAGCATGGCAGTTACACTTTAAAATAGTTAAATAGAACTTAGTGAGTTTTGAACAACTATAAAAAGCTTATTGGATCTGAAATCATACTATCACTCCAGATGTATCTGCATTATTACCTTTGGCATTCCCAGCAACACAGCTAATGTGAATTTTGGAAGCTAAAGCCACAATACATCTGGAGAGGAACTGTGTGGAAATTGTGTCATATAGAAATTACATAGATACATTCTAAGGGAAATCTGAACCTGATATGAGTACTGAGTATATTNCCATACATCCATGCAAAGTGCAGGAGATCCTAGAGGAGACAATGGAGGTCAGGGGAGTCTGGCATGCTGTGGTCCATGGGCTTAGGAAGAATCAGAATCAACTTAGTGACTGAACAGCAACAACAATCCTAGACACCCTGATCCAAGATATCCTTCTGTTTATATTTGCGTTGCATCCCTGGCTAGGAAAACGCAACATTGTCTACAGATCCATTTCCTGCATGTGCGGTGCAACCATGCTAAGATCAGTAAGTTCAAGAAGGTATGCAGTATATTTCTACTGCACATCTACCTGAAAGATTACAAACTTTACAGAGCCGTCACTGAGAACAGGAAACAAAGATAGATTTTTGATTGTACCCAGTTGATAAAAATTACAAAGTGGATTAAGGATACTGTAACTCTTTTATTGTATTATTTTACATGAGTAATCTGGAAGGTCCATTCAGGTCAACATCTTGTTACATTACAATTTTAAGATATTTTTCTATTGAAATTTAAAAGCAGCAAGTTCTGCATTTATAGCTATAATAATTTACAGCTCTGTGTTGTTTACCTAATAATTATCTAGTCAGCATCCCAGTATGAGTTCCATTGCAGTTTCAGACTTGCTGCTTTCAGTGGAAAATGTTATTAATTCTGCAAGTGGTGTAATATTAAAATGTAGCTTTACAGAATGTATGTGTGTAATAATGTGCATAATGATGTACGCTTTGCTTTGTGTGTCTTCAGAAGAGACCTTCTTTCAAGCAGATCATTTCAATTTTGGACTCCATGTCAAATGATAGCAACCTTCCAGACCAATGCAATTCATTCCTGCATAACAAGGCAGAATGGCGGTGAGTCCTCGTAATACCCACCCATAATTATGACATTACCTGTGGGGAGAAATGAAGTATTTCCCCAGAAAAATACATAGCCAAAATTAGACATCCAGTGTTTGAATTTTCAAAATTGTGCAACCCACACCCACAGCCATCATTGTTTCACTGTCAGGTGGGGAAAAAATGTGTTTCCCACACAATTGTGCTCCATGTTGGTACTTTTTCTGCATAATGATGATCAGAAACAAGTTTGCAAATTGTGTTTGCTATATTTAGAAACAGTGAGTTGGTTTAAATAAGATGTACAGCAAAATGGCCAAATCAGCCCCCCTCCCCAAATTAAATTTGTAAGAATTAGGAATGAGAGTAAGGGATAGCAAACAGCTATGAATCAAAGGACCAGAATTAAATTGCAAAATTTGGGGGGAAATGTTCTTATCCATAATTTATTAGTCATCCAGAGCCAGAAAAGCAGGGTAATCAGCATGGAGTAAGCAGGTGTAATATTTGCCATCTTAAAATTTTGCAGTCATTATCTGGTCATTTTCATAGATACGTTATTGCAAAACTGTCCTCTGTTTTTCACTGATCTTTGAAAAGTTCCCCAGAGAATTGTCTAGGCTGGATTTATGAAGCAGTATGTATCTTGGTTTTTGGTATCTTGTTGTTCTTTCCCAGGTTACACAGCTATATGATTATGTGTGCAAGTGGTTACTAAATTGAAAGAGATTGGGTGGGATCCAGTTTATTTAAATTAGTCTTGACATTGTTGTTTCCATTCATCTAGGCGAGTCTTCTCTAAATATGTCAAACTTTCCATCCACTATTAATATCCTTCATTTGTGGTATCTTCTGTGCTAAATGTTTTTCCTTACTGGATAGATTTCAGCATGTTTTTTTCCCAGACATAAATCCTGTGATAATCAGCTGGGCTTACTCCAGAGAGATAGTTTTATGTCCAGTTTTTAAACCACTCCAATCAGATGTCTGTGTGCATAAATACAGAAGTAAAATATATAGATACATTTTAAACAGTTCTGCTTGGAATGCTGTGAAGGCAGATCAAAAAGGATTTGTACAAGAAGAGGATAATAACAACAAATTTTGCTGTAGGCTAAATTAAGAAACCTTGGACATTCTCCAGGTAATGCAGAGCACAATTCAGTAGTCTACTTGATGGTTATATGCCTGCTCATTTGTAGACTGGCAAAGATAGCCCATGCAAGAAAGATTAGAGAGATCTCAGCATGTAAATAATATTTAAAATCCCAGGATGAATAAGGATTTGCCAATACAACACCTTCTAAACTTTAAGGGGAAGAAATAGTGGTGAACTGATAACAAGCAAGAGAATTTTACTGCAGGGATGGAAAATGTGAGCACAGATGGGAGGTTTGAGCCAAGTCACATGATGCAAGTATAAATAGCTTGTTTTAGAACTGACATTCTTCTTGCACTGACTCAGCAGTGTGGCAATAATCCACACTAGCACAGCCCTCTGAAGACCAGGATGTATTGTGCCATCTACTGGTGCAAACTGCAAACTGCACTGGAAATAAAGCTTCAAGCTTACTATAATTCTTCATGATGAATCCTTTCCCATAGAATATTAAACACATGTATGTACTCAAGAGCAATCCCACTTATTTTCTACAAAGTGTATTTAGAATTACAGAATTTCCTGATATGTTTAGGTTTCCCAATTGAAGCCAGGCAACCTGTATGCCTTTTTAAAGATTGCTAAATGGTTTCTAATGTTATAAAGAACTTGAATTAGCTAGCTACTCTTTTCCCCTGAAAATAAGACCACCCTGGATAATCAGTTGGGCTTTTGAGCGCATGCGCTAAAATAAGCCTTCCCTGAAAATATTGCAACACAGCAGCCGGCATGAGGTGACCATGCTCGCAGCCTCTTGCACCTCAAAAATAATAAGACCTCCCCGAAAATAAGGTCAAGTGTTTGTTTCAGGGGTCAAAAGAAAATAAGACCCTGTCTTATTTTCAGGGAAACATGGTAGTGCCTGTCTTTTGTTTTTAAAAAAGGATGATTGTTTAGATTTGTGAGGAAGTAACACATTATAACGCTGTTGCATAGGTCAATGCAAGTATATAAATATATTTTTGAAAGTACAGTCTTGGTAACAATTTTTGAGATCTCTAGGAGTCACACCCAAGTATTTCTGGAAGACATATGTACTCCAGGGTCTAAACCTGTGCATATCTATTGCAGAGACAATTAAATCTTATTGT